AGCTCATTTCTAACATCACACAGCTTTGTTTTCAAGTCCCTGCCGCCTTTCTTCTCCTTTAAATCCTGTTTCTGCTCTTCAGTCACATGTGGAGGAAGAGAGACGGATTCCCCTCATAAACATCCCCTAGAGTTCAATCCTTAGCTGAACCACCAGCTTTACCCGCCGTTAAATAAGTCCAGAGAATCCAGCAGTAGGTCAGGGAGATGAACCAGAAACCAAACATATTTCAGATTTTATGGATGTTAAGACTAAAACTCCCACAGCCGCCATTTTGACGGTTCTGAGATTTTAAAGGGAAAGAACTATATTTAAAATTATTTTTAAGTTGCTCATGTTAACTAACTTTCAAGTCAAGTTTTTCCTTTAAAAGAAGTTAATTGGATATTAAGCACTTGAAATCTGATAATGTGATATTTATTTGTCTTATTGTGTCTCTGGTTTTGGATCCTTCTGCATAGTTTTGTTCTGTTTGTTGCTTTTATGCTTGTTTTGGTGAATAACGTGTTCTGCATGCAGGCTGCTGGAAGCTGATTCCAAGTCCATGAGGTCTATGAGCGGCTCACGGCGCAACAGCGGCTCCTCGCTGGTGTCCAGCTCCTCCGCTTCCTCCAACCTGTCGCACTTTGAAGAAGACACCTGGATCTTATGGGGTCGGATCGTTAATGAGTGGGAGGAGTGGAGACGCAAGAAGGACAAACTCCTCAAGGTGAGTTCTGGTTTTCAGGGCAGGAAGAACTTTGAATAAAGTTAAGAAATCAGGCAAACATAGAAGGCATTTCAGGAGAACATAGAGCCTAAAAATGTGAGGTGAGGTAGTTAACGATAGATCAGAAGGCTTTTACACCTGGATGCATCACATCTTCAGGCTTTGCGTAGCGTCAGGGAAAATGTAGAAATTCAGACTCTCTGAGGCGCCATTTCCTGCATTTTGAACGTTTTGTCTTTGTTCCAGCACTTTTCACCTGATTATGGGAAGCATGTGTGCTTGAGTAAAGGTGGAAATTCCATAAGGAAGACTTGAGATCATTTTTAGGGCCAATTTTATGTTTCATAATAGGAACAATCAGAAAGTCTGATGCTACGTTCAGACTAGACGCCATCAAAGGAGCTCCTGCTGCTTCATTTCTGATGCTCGTCCACATTAAGGTGAGACGTCCAGATGCAGGAGAGCGGCTTTGCTCAGAACGCCAAGGTCCCCGCCCATCACTCATTGCACCCGACCCCTTTGGCCCCTCCTACAGGTGGTGAGCCCATTGGAAGGGGGAGCCATGTTTCAGGCTGTGCCCTGCTGGGGTCCATGGGTGAAAGCCCGCCCACCAGGCGCTAGGGTTAGGGTTAGACCTGCGTCCGTACGAGGGAACACTACGGCCATTTGTTTCGCTCATCATAAGGGGCTGCTCTTTCTTTGGTCATCTGTCCGTCTTTGGTGACCCTACCAAAGACGGGAAAACCCT